TACGAGAGAGAAGATTAGTCTTACAAAGTAAGGAAGTAGTAAATAACGAAAAGAATAGACGAAAGGACGTAAGAAAGGAACGGGCGTGTGAGTGAGAGAGAGAGAGAGAGAGAGAGAGAGGCTCGGTTGAATTAAAAACCATAAATGAATTTTTGAAAGAGGGTTAAAGGGTTCCTATACACAAGAAGACGGTGTACTCATCATACACGCGATCATTGCCCTTTTAAAGGAAGACGTTTTACATGACGTTAAAACCCTAAATTGTAGAATTATCGTGCACCTCGAAAATTCACCTAAAAAAACATCAAATTAATTATCTTCACATCGCGGTGTATGAATAAAAAATAAAATAAAAATTTTAAATCCCAAAAATAACCCATCTTACAAGAGTATCTGGACCGTCTATTTTTAAAATTTTCACGTATTTATCAATATGCTTGATTTAAACTATTTTTAAACTTTAAAATTTTATAATTAGAGATGAAAATAGAATTTCAGGCCATACTAAAAATTTTCGACACACAAAATTGCATCTTATAACAACGTTTGGAAATGCACATTACTTTGATTGTTAAAGTTGCAGCCTTATGCAAACCTCCCCTCTTTTAAATAAATATAAACTATAATACCATGTGCAAGTTTAATAATATTAATTATAAATCTTGATTTTCAATCCATTATAATGGTCATTAAGGTAGGCTTATGCTGGATATATATCTACCCTCAGCCTAGGGCACGCCCTAGTGGCCCAGCTTGGGCTTATGGCCCCCTGGGCCTGTTGGTGATTAGGTAGCCCAACTCCAGTCCCACCTTTTTGGGGATTAGGGTGAGCTGGGCCTGAGCCTGGCCCACATATTTGATTTCAATCCACAATCTTTTATTTTGATTTAATGAAAATTAAAAGTAAAGAAATTCAAATATGCATTATTTCAATTTGAAATATATTAAAAATTTAAAATCATAACATATAGTGCAGCCACTGTACAATGAATTTCTTAGGGTGTATGCCGAATGTGACTATGCTATCATCATATCATTATGTACTCAATTAATTTTATGTATTCCGTCAATCATAACTTAAACAAAGGTTTCATCTTTCGTTAATCCCTGTAGAGTAGGAAATTCTCTTTATGAAATCTTAATCAATAAGCAAGAAATTCTCTTAATGAATAAAGCATGTCTGAAACCATGATTAATAGTAGTGCAAGGAATGGGCCGAGGTCGGGTCTGAAGCGGTCCGGACCTAGACCTAGACTGAGACCAGGCGAAGTTCAAGACCACTGGACCCATAACCAGACCCATCAGTGTGAAGGACTCGTACCTGACACAGACCCTGACTCGACCCAGGAATCCAAGTCAAGTCGGGTTGAAGAGAGAGGGTTCTTCCAGTATCTTCTGATTTCTCTCTAGAGAGAATGGGGCTCCATTAGGTTTTGCATCTTCTAGTTTCTCTCTTGGAGCATATGAGAATTAAAGTTCTCATGGATAGGCTTAGAGAATTGAGATCTAGTTTCCGTGGTAGACTTTGGGGTAATTATAAAAAATATGGGAAGTTCGATAATTATTATTTTTATCATGATTTTGAACAGAGATAATTAAATTGAGGTGGAGGCCTTTAAGTGTTTGAGACAATTAACTTAAAATTTAATATTAGAAATTTGTAGAAAATTTTCACCTTGTTTAGTATTGAGATTAATATTACTAATTTGTACAAATTTTTCGCAATGAAATTAATATTAGATGTTCGATGTCAATACATAACATTGGGGTCCATGCTTTTGGAGTTGGGCGGACGCAAAAGCAGGACCTAGAGCTGAACCCAACCGAATTCGGTTGAGATCTGAAATTTTTCTTTTTTTTTTGGTAGTAATGTTTTTGATACTTATTCTCTTTTCATATATCAAGTTGTAGTTTTAAAATGGCAAGTCAATGAAGAAAATGAAGGAAACAGTCCAGAAAACAAGACTAGTATATGGAGAGAGAAAGTGTGTCTTTGATGTTCTGCACTACTAGTAATATTAGTGGGTAAAAAGTAAAAGTGTGATTGACCTGGGCCAGCAGGGAAGACATAGTGATCAAAGGGTTGGTGGATATGAAGAAGAAGAATCAAGGTTCCAGCCTGGTTTTGTGTGTTATTGAAGATGGGGAGGTGGTCAAGTGTCCATTTCAGTGCATGGAAGCTCATTTCAGAGTCATCTAAAGCAACAATCACCTTCATCTTCATCATCTTCTTCTTCTTTTTCTTCCCTTCCTCTCTCTTCCTTCTCTTTTTCTCTTCCTCACCTCTCTCTCCATTCTTCCCACTTTGCCTTTTGCTCTGTTTTACTGGCATAAGCTCCTGTGTCATTCGCATAGGAGAACGCAAAACACGCATGCTTCCATGCGGAAGACCTTCACTTACAAGAGCGTCACGCATGCATCTCGGCCCAATCCGTCTGTTTTTCATATGACAAAGAATAACCGGAAATTTCGAAACTTCAGGAGGAATCTGACATAATTGGCTGGAAACTCCAACTGGTTTTCATTTTGGATCCTATGTCCCTTTTGTCTTGTGCATAGGTGGGGCGGATCGGCAGAACTAACAAACATTTTGCTGGAAATTTGGGCCTGAATCTGAAAACTTTGAGACTTACCTCTTCTCCATTCCCACTGCTTTAAAGATATGAGATTGTCTTCAAGAATGACTATTTATCTCTAAGAAGAGTATTTATCTCTGGGTGCGGTTTGTCGAGAAATGTGTTTCAACACTAAAATTTTATGTGATAACTTTAAAATATATTTTTATTTTTAATTATAAAATTTAAACTTTCAAAAGTAACGTAGATCAAACAGATTTATGAAAAACTTGAAAATCTTAAAAATTGATGGTCCAAAAATGCTTTACAAGATGCACTATTTCCAAAACTTGTTTTTTTGACAAAGAAATTTTTTTTTTCCAAAACTTGAAATCCATTTTTTTCACATGTCCATGGATCTTGATGTTGAGATGATCAATTTGAGGATATTTGGACATCTAAACAACGCCTTCTAGTGAAATTTTTGATATGGGATTTAATTTGATTGTTTAAAGCATCAGCTTTATACTAAATTTTTTTCTTTTATCTTTTGTACAAGGAAGTCACAATTATTTTTATTAAGAAGATTTAAAATTGGATGATTGTGGGTGTATCATTGACTAGACTCCAAATTAAAAAAAGAATATGAAACACACCCTAAGTAATCCATCAATTAAGACATCTCTGTATTAAAAATAAATGGTCTTACCGTATACAATACCCTTAATTTTTTATTAGCAATCCATTCAGTTTGTGCAAAATTTCTGTCCCAATCGTTGCTAAACTGCAAAAGAAAAATCCCCTTATTGTCCGATGATCTCATCACAAGCAAAGGAAACCTGATTCCACATATTTTCACTTCCATGGAAAAAACAAAATGAGAAAAAGAACCAAGATTAAATTACTATGCTAAGGTAAATTCAAAATCATTCAAACTTCATTGCTAGCATTCATTTATCTTCGGCAAACGATTCCATTTCCATTGCCCAGTCTACCAGTGCAATCCAAATCAGTCGTGCCGTTTTGAACAGCCATCTCAACACTCTCTGCTGACACATTTTCTGGCGAAAACACGCAAACGTTACAGTCTGCCGCTACCAATGACGATGTCTCATACTTGTCCTCTCCTCCCATAACTGGCATTGCCACCCTTCTCTTCACCGGACTCTTGAATCCTGGCCTGTATGTTTTTCCCAAAACTCCTTCAACTTCCAAAGAGAAACTACCTAAGAGCTTGAACCTCACCTCCAAATGTGCAAAGCAGTCATCCTCTGGAATCCCGTATCTGTGAATCTTGTCGTCCTCCGGCGTTACCGGCACCACCCTGACAGAAACTTCTGCCTTTCCTGTTAGAGTTACTGACACAGAGTTGGTTACCGCAGTCCTCTCAATGCTGAAATCATTTTCTGGAGAGCTCCAGGATGTGAGGTGGGTGGCTGGAAGTTCAAGTTTGTGTCCATCGTAGGCGAATTCGAGGTGATCAGCATTTGGATCCCAGTGAGAGGCTTTCTTTGCTGAGAGGGTGAGGGAGTGGGAGCCTAACATGAAGCCTAGGGCCTGAATCCAAGTGAAGTCTCGGGTGCGGTGAGAGGGGCGGAGGCCAATGAAGCGGGCATTGATTTGGAAGGAGGGATCGGAGACGAGGGCAAAGTGTCCACCAGTGCGGCCATGGAAGTAGAACATGACGCCGTCGCCACCCACGAAACGTGGATCGTAACATGCTGCCCCAGTTCCCTCACAGTTAGGCCTTCGATCTGTTTATTGCCACAAAGTGAAAACAATAACCAGTTAGGGACTCGAGGTGAATCATGATTTCCTCATCTCCACAAATGTTTACCACAATCTTAACCAGTTCTTTTGAAAGTTGAAACTTCTATTTCTGAAAAATGTTGGTATGAATAATTAGACTGGGGAAAATTTGAAGCATTTTTTTTTCTCAACTCAGGATTTGAACCACATGGAAAATATCAAAAACAGGGGCGGACTACCTGCAAAAATTATGGATCTCCTGGACCACTTGAATAAGTTATGCAAGTTCCTAGACCAATGCCACAACTTAACGAACCAGTGCCCCAAACACTAGGAACCTTCCATGGGTACTAAGTCAACCATAACCAAAGCTTGTTTCAATGGCAATCCAGCAGTTAAAATTGTGTATTTTGGAGGCAATGGACTTTCAAAAACCTTAGTCGATTACAGTTATTATGGCTCATGGATTGGTGGGAAAAGAGCCGAAAACATTATTATATTCATTTTCACCTCTAATGGGTTATAGTCTCTATAATCACCATCCATCATTTCATTGAAAGGGGTCCAACCCAAACCAGCATGCATGAGCGTACCATAGTGCATAATCCATAGTCCATTGAGTAAGGCCGTTCCAATTGCCTTACCTCTGTTGAAACCCATGACTGAAAACAAGGTGTTAGACAGCAATGGAAGAGATTGGAGATCTAATTCCGAACAACACATGGTTGGGCACTCACCCAACAGATGCTTTAAGGTAGAAATGGGGCAAAATCCCGAATATAAGGTGAATACCTGAACAATTTTTAACATAAAATTGTTCAAGTATTTCAGGCACTTGATGCTGCAACCTAGGAGGTTTTGCGTTTGAATCCAACTTGGCCTACCCAAAGAAACGCTCATTCAGGAAATGATGTATTCTGATGCTATCAGAGTCTAATTTTCTTTACCACTTACATGATTCGGGTGCATGTTCGTACATGTGAACAAATGAAGTTTCTGAAACATACTTAACAAGCTAGGTACATGAACAGTACTTTTAGTAAATTTTGTTGAGCTCAAATAGCATCCGCATGTTTAAGATGGGCCAGCATATTTACTTCTAAAAGACTAGTTTTAGCAATGGTACATTTTTTCCTTTTTCGGGACCCCGAAAAAAATTAAGAAGAGAAAAGATAAAGAAAGAAAATATGAAAAGAGCTTCACTTACTTCTGCACACAGCTTCACATGTTGGTGAGTTACAATTCACATAACAAGCTTTGGCCGTTGGATCGGCGGGCTTGAATTGTGGGCATTGATCTGGGCACACGATCGTCCGCCGGAAACATGTTGTCTTTGCTTTGAAGCAGCTCAGCCTTTGTGGAGGCTGTGTTTTCCCGGACACAGCAAAAGGTGGAGGGGGTGCCTGATTACCATAAGCATCTCCCTTAATCTCACCCATAATTGCCATAAAAACAACTGCAAGAAAACCCAATACTTTCATATTGAAGAGCTCCATTGTTGAACTTGGAGAGCTTGGCAATGGATCTAAGATCAAGGTCTTTCACTACAGAGGAATTTTCTTGCAACTTTGGTCTCAATTTATAAGAGGAACTTTAGGGGTTAAGGTAATGGGGAGTCTATGGACTGAAACGAGTTGGAAGTGTCACATGCCATTAATGTCATGTAAGATATTAAAATCTATAGCGTTTAAAAATGGCCATTGCATCTTTGAGGTGCTCTTAAAAATTAAAAAGAGCCATTGAATCCTTGAGTTTCGGCTGCCAAACTCTGGTTGGCAGTCCAAGCAGGGTTCACGCCTTGCCCTGTGCTGGTAAAAGTCAAAGGAGTTCATAGTAGTAAATTTCAGTTCACCATTTGTTTAGCTGCATTTTACTATTATAATATGTTATTGATTTGCCCCTAGTTGTGCTTCGAAATTATGAGGTATATAACCTTTAATTCTCTCAGGGGCATATTTGATCCGGGAAACCGCCCTCTTAGTGAGGTTTAGGTTGACCAAGTCAATTTCTTGCCTTTTATTTTTTTTTTGAGCAAGTGAGGGAGAGGGTCTTATCATTGGTAGGAATCAAGCCTAGGACATAGCATTGCAAATCGTCAAGCACTAAACAATTAAACCGGGCTCTTTTTCTAAAACGGTTTGGTAGGGCGTAATTTGTTTATTTTTGGGTGAATGAGTAGGGAGAGGGCCTCTTTGATAGGAATGGAGCCTAGGACATAGTGTTGAATTGTATTAGGCCAGGTACTTCTTGACCCAATGCAAAAGATCCAAGGCTAGGGCCTCTTTTGCCCAGTTCAGACTGGGTCACAGCCACCCATCCTAGTTTTGGCATGTCGCCAGCCCTACTTCCCGTATTTGTTTGAACAGGAAAGTGGTCCTCGGGAAATCTGAAATATTCACACAGTGCCCATCAAATCTAAGATTTTCACACTACTGCACAAAATAGTGGCATTTCATGGGAAAGGGGCTCCATAACTTACAAAGTATTAGGGTTAAAAAACGGCGAGATGAAAATTGATTATGAAAAAGCAGCTCCATTACTTGCAAATTTGAAAATGTTTCTTTCAAGATTTTCAAGTGATTATAGATCTACTTGATTTGAACCATCTTTTGAGTAATTAGATATGCAAAAGATTCTCAAGCCATCCTAAATATTTTTTACACGAAAAATATATTTACAGTAAAATTTGGAGGTGCGTCTTAATTTGATTGTTTGACGTTGCAATCTGATACAAAACACACCCATTAGCTTAATCCACATAAGTTCCTCGGTAATTCACTATTTTAAACTTCCGCAAAGCAGCAGTAGTAAATGAATGTCAGACATGACCGATCTCAACTCGAAATAAGTTGAGACAGAACAAGGTGCATCCACAGCCTGTGGAGGCTTAAAAGGTGCACAAGCACCTTTTAATAGTTCAGATTCAACTATGCTCATTCGAAGAGCCAATAATGAATCTCATTTTTATTTTTATTTAAAATGATATTAATATGAAATTTTGGTTTTATGCTCACCTTTACAATTAAGATCAAAAAATTAATAAAAAGTTTTTTGAATAAAAAAATTGACCAAAATAAATTTAGAGGTATTTTAATTATTTTTATTTAAAATATTTTTTAATCATTTTTATTTTGTTATATTTATAAAATACACCTACACTCCAAAAATCAAATAAATATATTATTTAAATGAAATTAGAATATAAAACTAATTCTCGGCCATTAGATATGACCATGTGAGATCTCAACCATTGGAAGGTTGCTTGTATCCGTACTTCCTCTTGTCCACCTGTAGTTCAGAAAGAAAACTTATTTGGGAGATTTTCTTTTTTTTAATCTAAAATTTTGGAAACCACCTAAGAATATCACTATATGATTATTTTTTTATCTAAAATTTAGCTTATGAGAGCTTCAACGCCTTGTTCTCACCCACTAAAATTTGGATGTTATTTATTCAATCTTGGAACATTATTTTTCTCAAGCATATGATAGGTGCAATTTGGGAAGACTTTTTATTGAGGTTGGCTTATAGGTTTAATAGATCACATCCGCAAAATTTGGGTCCTAAAAATTCTCCTAGAGTGTGTTGACCCAAGAGAGTAAATGAACGTGACAACCCACCGGAGCAAAAAAAAAAACAGAAAGCTAAATTAAAGGGAGTAAATGAACGTGACAACCCACAGGAGCAAAAAAAAAAAAGAAAGTTAAATTAAAGGGAGTAAATGAACGTGACAACCCACAGGAGCAAAATAAAAAAAGAACGTTAAATTAAAGGGAGTAAATGAACGTGACAACCCACAGGAGCAACAAAAAAAAAAGAAAGTTAAATTAAAGGGAGTAAATGAACGTGACAGCCCACAGGAGCAAAAAAAAAAAAGAAAGTTAAGATTAAAGGGAGTAAATGAACGTGACAGCCCACAGGAGCAAAAAAAAAAAGAAAGTTAAATTAAAGGGAGTAAGTGAACGTGACAACCCACAGGAGCAAAAAAAAAAGAAAGTTAAATTAAAGGGAGTAAATGAACGTGACAACCCACAGGAGCAAAAAAAAAAAGAAAAAAAAAGTTTAAATTAAATTAAATTGGCACACAAAAAAGAAGGGAGAATCCTAGCCACACCTGAGCTTTCCATTCTCTATGACGGAGGATGGGCATGAACTGCATTTCCGTTGATTGAGAACGAAGGGCACTATTCAATAGAATTTCAGGGCAAAAGGAAAAAAAGAGAAAGAAAGGCATTCACCAAGAACAAATGATTCATCTCTTCCTTTTATTATCAGAATGGGCAGTGTATGCAGGGTGGCAATGGAACCGGATCCAGATCCGACACATATCCAGATATGAGTCCAAAATTCGACCCGACGGGTTGGGTCCGGGTCCAAATATTGGACCCAAACACTATTTGGGCATGTGTGTTATTATATAAATAATATTTAACATATAATACTTTAATACTATTTAATTAATATGTAAAAATAGACTTATATTAATTATAATATTTAAATAATATATGTATATTTAACATAACAACTAAATATACTTGAATATATATTTTATTATTTTGGGGTGGGTCCGGTCAGGTCTGGGTCCAATATTTTCAGGTTTGGGTCCATGTTCGGGTCCAATAACTTCGGGTCCAATCGGATCCAAGTCCACGTTTGAGTCGGGCCGGACCCGACCCATTGCCACCCCTAGGTCTATTATCCACCTATGTATGGTATAAGCATCAAACGATGTGCATGCTAGGCTTCATCCGAGATAGAAGTCAGAGAAATATTAAGGAAAAGTATATATACTGTTGTCACTTTGTACAATTGGACTTCAAATTATCGGGATTACTCAACTCCAGTGTTGGAAACCAGCAAATCGTTTATTTCAAATTTTATGATCGTGAGTGTGAAATAAAATTCGGATTTTAAGCCCCAAAAATAGTTCATATTTCCAATAAGGAAAAGACGTATGCCCTCTCTCTAAAATTATTATCCCAAATAACCTTAGGGTCCCATAAAATGCCCATAAAACCCTTTAAGTTAAACAAAAAGGACCCGTCCTTACCTTTTTTTTATCATCTAAATTATAATTTACCATTCTTTTTTCTAATAAATGCATCATGAAAATCGAGTTTGTCATACCTCTTTTAACTTACTTGTTGAGATTCATGAGATTGTGTGTGAGAGAGAAATATTAAGGAAAGGTTGTAATTAGTGTAGAAAAAAGTGAACTGACAGGGGGCTGGAACAGGTTCAAACGGCCTAATCGGTAAACCGGTTGGTTCACCTGGCCTAAACGGACAAGTCTTGAGCAGTAAAAAAAATGTTAAAAAAATATAAAAAATACAAAATAAAATCTAATAAAATTTGAAAAGTATATTTAAAGAATGATTAAACAAAGCACATCCAAATGAAGTTAAACATTAATGAAAATATAGGTTTTTAAGAATTGATTTGTGTCCAGAAGTATTTTTGAAAAAAATTTTTTTTTTTTAAAAAAATGCCAAAATATTTTCAAATCTTTGTCAAATTGATAAAAAAAACACTTTAAAATACATTTCAAACAAAAATTTTATATAATTATTTTAATTTTGTTTTCATATCCGGCCAATTCACCAAAACTAAAACCGGCTAGTAGTTGATTCCGATTCAACCGGGCGGCTAGAATTTGAATCGCCCGATTTTGCCCACACTACTTGCAATAGAGAGGGAGGAAGAGGTCCACGGTTGAGTAAAAAAGAGAAAGATAGAGAGCATTTCCAAGATTTAGATATAAAGTGTTTAAGAAAAAAGAAATAAAATTTCTACAATTTGGACAATAAAATGTGAGAGGATTAAATATTCTTTTTTCTTTAACATGGGCGGTTCCTTAAGATATTTATAGAACTAAGAGGTTATTTAACTCGCCATCTCGATAACAACGATACTTTAGATATTACTTGAGCCTAGAACCCATTCCTCCCTAAAAATAATTCATTTTGAAAACTTTTTCAGGAACGCCGACTTAAAAGTAAGTCTGCAATAGTTTTTTTTGGGTAATTCAATAGGAAAGACAACCCTACCTGCCTTTCAACTAGATTAGGTGTTTAGCTTTTTTTAAAGGTATTATAGTGGGGTGGTATTAGTGGTAGAAATGAAAACCACGACGTGATGATTAAGGTGTGGGGATGCTATCGACATGACCCCAAGCCTCTTTTCGAGTCTACAATAGTTTTGGAGTTTCACCCAAAATGGATTCGATCACTATCACATGATCTTCGAGCACTTAATGTAATTTTCCGATCGGGTTCTAAGGTGCGGCCCTACCAAATTTGATAAGATCGCAGCCCTACTAAAGCCTCATCCACATTAGAGAATTTGGTTCGTTTAAGTATAATTTAGAGGGCTCTTGATTAACGTGAGTTCTAAAATTGTGGTTTAATTACAGCTGGTTAAGTTCTTGGACAACGAGCTGTCAAACGTGGGAGCAAACCTAAGTCGCGCCATATTTTTTTGGTGTGGATCCACTTCTTAAGATATACCCCTCTGTGGAAACCTGACCCATTTGAACTTGTATTAACATAAATAAACTATTTTTTTTTTTTGGATGAATAATAAACTATCTACATTTGAACTTTGATATTCTTATGTATTTAAACGATTCCCGAGGACGTTGCGCCAAAGAAGCTTCACATACAGGGTTGGCCG